ACACTAGGAACCCAAGAGTTCCTTATGACAGAGAAGCTGACACCAATTCAGGGGCATTTCAATCTGGCATCAACTTCGTTAGGGAAAAAAACCCCAAACGTTTGGGATGTTCAACAAACAAATCCTGCACAATCCGAATGCCCCGCTGACTGTCCGCTGGAATCAAAAGGCGTTTTTCTACTGACCAATTTGCTGGCACTGTACTTCATCTACTTTGGTGGACTTCATAACCTTAATTGTGGTGAAGGGTCTCCAAACTCAGACTAGAGACCAGATTTCCAGTCTGTCTACATTTACTTGCCTGCAAGAATATCCTGGAGGCTAGCTCTGAGATAACTCACCAGTACTCTGCAGGGGAATGAAGAGCAGGATAGGACAGGGAGAATGCCAAGTATAGCCATGCTCATTTGCGCATGAATTTATCTACCATGGGATTCGGTTTTGCAGTGTTGCCAAATGTCAACGCAACATGTATGATTTTGGTCAGCAGACTACAGTTTTCAGCAGGTATTAGTAGGAAAGAACTGGAGATCGGGATGTGCAGCAGCCTGAACTGCAAGATATACACAAATCCCAGGCACCTGACCACTGTGTGTGCTCAGATATGTTCTACATTTCACATATGGGAGAGTAAAAGGGTTCCAAACTTGCCAGACTACCATGCTTAAACCTATGAAGAAAAAGAGATCTGTGATAATATGGAGGAAGAAGAGCAGATCAGGGTCAGTAGATTACACGTGAAATCAACAGGTCCTCTCAGATACATCAAGCTGTATATATAGTGTTTACTCCATAAAGACCTGAATAGCCTTTCCTTTTCTTAATTGTTTTTTTCCTAGACTTTGTGGTTTTTACAGGATCATTATCTATTAATTTATCACTGTTTACGCCTATTTTTTAACTTCTATTCTCTTTTTGCACTGTAATAATAAAATGGTATAAAATCCATGAATATACCGCACAGACAGCAGAAAATTAAATAAACAGTTAAATGCGTGCAAAATAAGGCAATTACTTGATTTCACTTTTTCTTATATTCAATTGCACCTTCAGGCCCTTAATGTTATGACATTTGGGTAAGAAACACCACAGAAGTACCACTTGATATTTGTTTAGTATCTACCATGCTTAGACTTCAGTAGTTCAGCAAATTAAACTAAGCTTTTCTCCGTAGTTTTAAAGCAATTAGGAAAAAGTTAGAATACAGACCAAAATTAAACCTTCTCACAACCCTTTGATATTGTTACTTGTCATTGAAGTGTTTCATGTTTATAAATACTAGATCTCCAATGAGAGGTTCTAATGGAAAAAAAATACTTCCATTAACTCACCCAAAAACCAAAGAAAACCAAAAATGCAAGCATCAGCATCTTTAAATTGCTTTAATTGCATTGTTTCATCCTCCCTTGATCTCAGCAGTGCTGTATCCTGTTTTACAGCACATCATTCCCATCATTCATTGCTGATCTTATTCATTTATCAAATGTCACTCTGTGCTCTTTCTCTAGTGACATGTGGTTACTGGGGCGCTGGCAAGTAAACCAATATTCAGCTTCATCCTGTTAGTCATCATCCATCATCTTATGCTTAAAGTATCAGAGCTATGCCAGAAGGGATAAAAAGTAGCAAACTTAATCAGGGGGATTAAAAATTAGCATCTGAAGAAGAAAGGAATAGGCAGGCAGGTAGTTTAAGGACGTCTAAGAATTGACAGGAGCATTTTTAACAAGTTCTTTATCTGAAAAATATGTCCGTGTCAGCAAGACCTGATATACTCATATTCTGTTTTCATCTTTCCAGCATCCCACCAGACCCCCAAAGGAACAGTATTATCACATTGTCTTAAATGCCATCGTTCATTTTTTTTCATATTAACTACTGACAAGTTCTGTAATGCCTTCCCTTTACACCCTTCTCTATCCCTAACAACATGCTTTTTCTTTTGTATTTACTGAAGAACCCCATTAGCTTGTGATTTACTGACAATTACTGTTCAGGGTTAGTCTTGGTTTCTCTTTGAGTAGGTAAGGGAGGTATATTTTGTTTCAGTTTGTGTTTCACACCAAATTCTCAAATTCCAACTTGTGCTGATCAGACTTGGGTGACTATAAAGGTTTTGCTCACTCCACATGATGAAGCCAATGGCCCAACTCTCACTGACTTTCCAGGGAAGCAGCACTGACCCTTATATTCTGCAGCTCTGTGTCAGCGGTTATCATCTAGAACCTGTGACACAGTCTCTCTCTTGTTCAGACTACCAGATCTGGCCCTGTACTGCATTTGTACATGTTGCAGGATTACTTAAACTATCTTTCTTTTTGCCCTTTTCCCCCCCCCTCACATTAGTGAGTCTTAGTAGTTTAAGTGGAATTCCAATATAATTAACAGACCTTAACCCAGTTTGAGGGTCTTACTGCGTATTTTTGGCTTTTCTTTAGCATCCTCCTTTCGTCCCATTCTTTTCTCCACACTGCAGAAAGTGTGATGCACATGTCTAACAAAAAAGCACATGATTCAAACTACCAAAGCTGTTTAACTGGTAGCATGTCTTTAAAGTGCCTAAAAAAAAAAAAAAAGAAAAAGAAAAAAAAGGAGAGAGAGAAGGGAAAGGCAGGAGCCGCTATCAATCCTGCAGAGTCAGTTCAATTCTGGCCTCAGATATCTTGCACATCTCCCATCGATTTCAGGCTGGGCCATGTGTTTTTAAAAGAGCAGTATTCAGCCCCTAACCTTTATCATTTAAACTTCTAGTGGTTTCTTACACAAGTGTATCTTTAAGGTTTCAATCCTAAACATTTCCGCCCCCCCAGCATAAATGATCTCAGTTAAGACATCAAAAACTATTTGTGTACTTTATGTTCCCATTGATGCCTTTCAACTTAATGTATTGATTTCTTCACACTTACGAATAGTGCCTGATGCACACAAACAATTTGCTGTTTTCCAAATGAGAACATCAAAAAGGATATTTCCATTCGACGATGCTGATGCATGCCCTCCGGATGGGATTTTTCAGTGTTAAACACAGCAGTGCCCGGGGAGGACGCGTAGCTGTGGTGGTACCCTGTTTTTTCTGTTTCCCATACTGCTGCCGTTTTCTCTGCGTGGAGCTAGCTGTGGATATTGTTGCATTGCCAGCACTACCCATCAGTTTGGCTTGCCTGGCAGCATCAATCGCAGCTTGCCAGGACAGAGCTGCCCCTGGAGTAGGGATATGCTCTGGGGCAAGCCCTGCAGCTGCATTGGCATTCATGTTGGCATGAGCTGGACGGGGACTCCCATAGTTGGAACCTGTGAAAGGGAAAAAAAAAAAAAAATAACCAGAAATTTGTGAAGACATTTTTTTAAACAGCAGAAAAGACGAACAGTGTTTTTAAAAATCTTAAGTATCAGTAAAATCAAGAGCTAAAGTTAAGGGTGAGTGTAGGCTATCCACTTGCTACCAACTTCTTCCTCCAACTTAAACTCTGTTTAAAGTAATACTGCTGTGCAATCATTTGTCTTGCAACAGTCTCCCAACAAGACCCAATGGACACTGAGCTGTTAGAAGTGCCTCCAATCAATACTGTCTCCAGGGATTCACAGAAAAGAAACTGTCCTTCTTTTCCTTTTTTATCCACACATTTTGCAAGTTGGATTGTTTGAAAGCTCCAAAGGTGAGACTAGTTCTCAGCACTTTATCACACAGACATGCAACACTACGCCATTTACTACATGGCAGAACACCCAAATGAGTTTCTCAAGCCCTATCATAAAAATCCTTATGTTTTCAAGATTACATCAAGGTAACGTGAAATTTCAACAATGAGCTTAATTCTCTCTGCAAATGGTACATATGTAAAAGCCTAAGAATGGCCTGACTCAAAGGTACACTGAAGCAAAAACTGGAACATAAAGGCAGAGTTCATGGCTTTTGTGCTCTGTAGGATGATGTGCAGATGGTTTAGGCCAACCAACATATCTATAGAAACTGGAACTGATTCCTTATCTTGATAAGCTGATTTTAAAATAGACAAACTATTGAAATCAATGGAGGAACACTTATTTCAAAAGCATGTAATAACAAGAATGCTAAGACCTGGCAGTCCCAAGTTTTGCACCTCTTTTAGCCAAAAGTGCTAATGTTACATGCTTTTGCCCAATAACAGTAATGGACTATATAAGCCAAGTGACATGTGGCTGATATTTAGAACGTCTTAGCAGTACAAAAAATGAAAGTCACCCTTTCAAGCTACTGCAATTGTTCCATTGTTTCAGTAAAGACAGTTAAGTCACCTATACCTCTTCAATGACGGTTTTTCAGCAACTCAAATTAAAGCTTCAATCACTTCAAAATGAGTGAATTTTGAAACTTCAAAACAGATTCTCTTACTCTTTGGAGTATGCTTCAATTGAGATATGTGAGAACTTGTGAGATATTAACTGAATTTTGCCACAGACGCTTCACAGCAGAAAATATAAACCATGTTGGAAAAGTGCAACATAAAATCTACACAAAGCCACAACAGCAAACTTTAATTAGGAAGAACATCTTGTTTAGATATGTCCTCTATAAGATTTAAGAGACTACTTATCTTTTTTGTGGACTTGGGAGTTTGCCTGTGTCCCATATATGGGGATACAGGTAAAAGGAAGCCCAAATGGTCTACAGATCTTATTCCTTCACAGGCCATGAAATCAGAGTTCAGTTTCAAAACACTGCATTCAAGAGATTGTGTTTCCCCTTACATCTGATGAGCAAAGACTACACTTCAGAAAAAACGTACATGCAAGAGGCAGATAGTAGAGACCCAGTGAAGGACTTAGATCACCTTTTATTTCAAAGCAAGCTCAATGTCTACTATTGGCAGCGTTCCACTTCAGATTAATATAGAAATATGGTGTTACTAAATAGATCAGATGGGTTCCTATAGACTGCTGGGCAAAGGAAACAGAAGACCACGTGATGGTTTTCCTTAAAATATTGTGTGAAAGACATTCAAAACCCCGTAACTGGCAAACTGTTCTTGAACAGAAATAATTACCCTAGATGCATATTTCATAGCTGGATGAGCAGTGCTAAGATATCACAGCAATGACTGTAGTACAAATGAATTAAAGCAGGTAAAATAAATACAATCACATTGACACACAGAGTGCAACAGGATACACCTTTACCTAGAAAGCATGCAAGATTTTTAAATTCGCGTCACTAAATCGGAAGGAAGGACATGATAGAGTCAGATGTTATTTTATGTCAGACATTGCCATAAGATTTCCAGGCTGTTATAGTTTCATTGCACAGCAGGAAAATCTAGAGCTTGTCTCTGCTTACTGAAAAACCTCCTAGTTGCAAACCAGCCAAAAGGAAGCTGGTGAGTAATATGACTCTGATATGTGAAAAGGAAAGCTGCAAGAAACAAGAAATGGGAAATAGTTAATTCACATCCCTCAGATTTTGAAACCGAAGAAAAAGAGCTTTCAGAATCGCACAGGCTAAGCAGATTTCCTCAATGAAGCAGGCAATCAACTGGCAGACAAACTTAGTTAGTTTTCTAAGACTAAGCAAATTATACGCAGCACTACTCATGGGATGCATATTTATTTTCAGACTAGTTCCAGATGCAGTTTTTCTCTTTAGCATGCATTTGACCTCCCTAGCCTGAGGCATGCTGGAAAGAAAAATAAATGGAAAATTACTCCAATTATTCTCCAATTCCAGCTCTTCTTTAATACTGACCCATTGGAGTGGATAAGACAGACGTGTGTGTTTTCCAGTAAAAGCAAACTTGCTGATCCATCGCCACTGTGTTCTTATCGTGCTGACTAAACCATGTGGTCCTGAAAATAAACAACTGCTGCATCTTAATGAAGACTTTTCTGCAATTTGGGAATGTGTCAAGCTTCTCCGTTATTATTGCTTATTAGTTAGGTTTCACATGACGATTCAAGTCTATGCATTTTGACTTTGATGTGCCAGCAAAGTTAAGGATTCAACTGCTGGTGGTTTCATTGCTTTTGCTTCTACCACAATTAGCAGTCCTATAATCAAGCGCTTTGTCTCAAATTAATTTCAAAAGATGAGTCAGTAATGACAGATTTATATTAACAAATATTACAAATATTGATTACTGACAAGGGTCTGTCTGCTATATATGAAGCTCAGAGACTGCAGACTGTCTGTACTAAATAACTAATGGCAGCGACAAATTACTTGATCTACAGGCAGCTTATAGAAATAGCTTAAAGAGTGAAGTTCACACAGCTTCACGGAAAGTACATTCAAGAATTGAGCAAAATATTTGCAAACGCAGCATAGCCAAACTTTCAGGGAGAATGAAATTCTACCCTATAATCTAAATGCTTGGTGTTAATTCCTAGGAAGTACGCAGAACACAGTTCATATTGAACTTGCGGGGTGCCATGCTAAATTTCACCTACGGCACTCATTTCTCCTCCACCACAAAACTTTACTGTAACCTGGGAGCTGCAGTTACTGGATTTGCTATTTTCATTTTGCAATGTAGCAGTTAAAATACTTCACCCAATTTCCCCACTACAAATAAAGTTTCATGATACCTAAATCATTTTAATCATATTTGTTTATACTGTTAGGCTGGAAGTTGACCAGAAGTGGGAAATGGAGATTCGGCCCCCACCCAAATGTAATAACTCACTAAGCAGTGTGATCCACAGCGTCATCACCCTGGTAAGCCCTATCACCCTTTAGCAAGAATTTGTACTGTTGACTATGTCCAGCTGGTGTACAAAACTCCTCCCTCTCAAGTAGTTCTGTGCTACGGATCATAAGTTTAAGCATTTGAATAGTAATTAAACATAAAAGTACATATAAGTGAACAAATTTGATTACAAAGTCTTTGGGAGAGACTTTCATTTCTGCAAAAATGCAAAGTTGCAGAACTATTTCAAATGTAGATACAAAAAAAATACAGGTCTCAAAAATCAAAGTTGTCGAAAAGTAACAGCTAAGGTTGCTATACAACAGGAAATGAATGATGTTGCACAAAATTCCTGACACTGTAAGCTTACAACTAAATCACCAAAATCGTCATCATCAAAACCACTATTAAAACATAGGGATGACCATTAATACGTTTATAAGCACAATTTGTATTCTAGTAACATCTGTCATGCCACCTATCTCAAAAGCATCATTAAAAAGACCTAAGCAGTCACCATTCTATAAGAGTAGTAGGCAAGTTAACAACACAACAAAGTTGCAACTTTTGAATTTCTTGACTTCATCTAATTAGCCACACATTTATTTTAGAGGAATTTGTACTTAGATTAATTCTTTCAATGAAAATAAAGCTATGTCGATGTGGGGCGACACCATTCTTTTTTTTTTTTTTTTCCCATCACTTTAAAAATATCAGAATCCTAAAAATGCAAACCTTGAAACTGTTGCATGATTGTATTGTTCCCCCAAAGCAGAAGAGAGATAGGTACAGTAAAAATACAAAAATGGTTAAATTATAATGTCTTAACGGAACACTGAAAGAAAGCAAACAAAGTAGAAAGCTGGTCACACTACTAGGATCATGTGTGAGACCAATTCAAGCACCCAGGAAAGAAATTATAAAAGACTGAAGTGAGAGGTGCCTGAAAAGAAACATGAAGAATAACACACACAAAAAAGTCAGTGTATGAGATCATCTGTTAACAACAGGAAGAATGTGGAAAACATCGATCCATTAACCAACGGGAAAAGGAGAGCATTAGATAGATGATTGTAAGAAGGTTCAGCCATTAGCGACACCATTCTCATCATTTTTTTTTTTTGCATCACCTTTTTTTTTTTTTTTTTTGCATCAATCAAATCCATCAAGAGCAGGTGACTAGCACAATTTATCCCCAAACCAAAACAGGTATCATTTCCAACTGTAAAATTGAAACAAGTTAGAAAGTACTTAGATAATGTCCATGGTTTCAGCTACTTAGGTACCGCACCTTAGAATACCCTAGAATATTTAAAGAGCTTTCTGAAATAATCTCAAAGCCATTAGCTGCTGGTTTGAACTCATGGAAGACAGGAGAGATCTCAGAGGTCTGAGAAAGGGTGAATTGAGTCCTCAGTTTAAAAAAAGTGGGAAAGGGGGAAATTTAAATCCAGTTGAACTTCAGTCTCCAGAAAAAAATCTGGAATAAGTAAAATAAACAAGTGTCAGCAAGTATTTGGAGCACACGAAGAAAAACAGCAGCAGACATAGATCTGTCATGAATACATTGTGTCAGAGAAGACTAATTCCTTCCAGGACTGGGTAACAGAATTCACAGGCAAGA